GGCTATCATTGAAAACTGAAGAGGAAATAAAGAGCTTCCCAAACAAGAAAAAGCTAAAGGAGTTCATTACCACTAAACCAGTATTAAGAGGACAGTTAAGATCACTTTCTTAGGAAATAGGAAAAAAAGTTGGACATAATTATAAAGAATAAAATGGCAATAAATACATACCTTTCAATAATCACTTTTTTCCATCACTTTTTTTATTTTTAAATTATATTTTATTGATTATGCTATTATAGTTGTCCCAATTTTTTCTCCTTTGCCCCCTTCCATGGCTTAAATGCTCCATTCAAAAAACATAGGATAGCTGAACGAATAAGAAAAAAAGAGCCATATAGATGCTGTCCACGAGCGTATAGACACACACAGACTGAAAGTAAATGAATGAAAAAAGGTATTTCGTGCAAATAAAAAAAAACAAGCTAGGGTAGCAATATTTAAATGAGACAAAATAGACTTTAAAACAAAGGCTATAGAAAAAAGACAAAGAAGGACATTACATAATGATAAAGGGATCAATCCAACGAGAGGATATAACCCTTGCAAACATTTATGAACCAAATACAGGAGCACCTAAATATATAAAGCATATCTGGATAGGCATAAAGAGAAAAATCGACACAGGTACAGTCAATATAGTGATAGCAGAAAACTCTAACAACCCAGCTGACATCAATGGATAGATCTTCCAGGCAGAAAATCAACAAGGAAACAATAGCCTTAAATGACACATCAGAACAGACAGATTTGATATTCTCAGAGCATTTCACTCCAAAGCAGCAGAATATATATTCTTTTCAAGTGGACATGGAACATTTTCCAGGATAGACCACATGTTAGGACACAAAACAAGTCTCAATAAATTTAAGAAGACTGATATCAAAACAAGCATATTCTCCAACCACAATGGTATGAAACCAGAAATCACTCACACACACACACACACACCCCCCCACACACCCCCCCCAACCCACCCCCACCCCCGCCAGACTCAAAAACCCCAAAACATACACAAACACATGGAGACTAAATAACATGTTACTAAACAATGAATTTGTTAACAATGAAATCAAAGGAGAAATCAAGATACTTTGAGGCAAATGGAAATAAAAACACAACAACCTAAAATCTATGGGATTCAGCAAAAGCAGTCCTAACAGGAAAATTTACAGCAATTTAAAAATTCATTGCAAATTTAGGCCTAGTTCAAGAAACAAGAAAAATTTCAAATAAACATTTTAATGTCACACCTAACGGAACTTAAAAAAGGACAACAAACAATGCCCAAAGTGAGTAGAAAGAAGAAAACAGTAAAGATCAGAGTGCAAATACATGACATAGAGACTGAAAAACAATATAAAAGATCAATGAAACCAAGAGCTTGCTCTTTGAAAAGATAAACAAGATTGACAAACCTTTAACGAGACTCATCAAAGAAAACAAAAAGAGGACCCCAAAAAATTAGAAATGAAAGATGAGAAGTAACAACTGACATGTTAGAAATACAAAGGATTTTAAGAAAATACTATAAACAACTATATGCCAACAAATTAGACAACCTGGGTGAAATGGATACATTTCTAGAAACATACAGTTTTCCAAAACTGAATCAGGAAGAATCAGAACACGTGAATAGACTGCTAACAACTAATGATATTGAAGGAGTAATCAAAACCTCCCAGCAAACAAAAGTCCTGGGCCAGTGGGGTTCACAGGTGAATTGTGCCAAACATTCAAAGAAGAGCTAACACCTACTCTTCCAAAAAATTCAAGAGGAGTAAAGATGTCCAAGAACTTTTTACATGGTCAATGTTATCCTAATTCCAAAACCAGACAAAGACCCCCCCCCCCCCAAAAAAAAAAGAAAAAAAAAAAGGAAATTATAGGTCAATATCTCTGATGAACATAGATGCAAAAATTCTCAACAAAATATTAGCAAGTCAAATTCAAGAATATATTAAAATGATTATATACCATAATCCAGTGGGATTTATTCCTGGGATGCAAGGTTGGTACAATATCTTCAAGTCAATGTAATATACCACATAAACAAAATAAAGAATAAAAATCATACCATATAAATAGATGCAGAAAAGGCATCTGACAAAATCCAGTATCCATTTATTGTAAAAACTCTCAGCAAAGTGAGAGAAAATAGAGGGAATATACCCCAACACAATAAAGGTCATATATGACAAACCCACAGCTAATATATTCAATGAAGAAAAACTAAAGAGCACTTCCCTTAAGGTCAGGAACAAGACAGGTTGTCCACTTTCACCATGCCTATTCAACATGGTACTGGAAACTCTACTCCAAGTACTCACACAAGACAAAGAAATAAAAAGCATCCAAATTGAAAAGTAAGAAGTAAAGTTGTCATTATGAGCAGATGACATGGTACTGTATATAGATAACCCTAAAGATTCTGCCAAAAAAAACCTACTAGAAATGATAAATGAATTCATTAAAGTAGCAGGATACAAAACAAATATTCAGAAATCAGATGCATTTTTATATACCAATAATAAACTATCACAAAGGGAAACTAAGAAAACAATCCATTTACAACTGCATCAAAAAAACAACAATCCAGAAATAAATTTAACTAAAAGTTAAAAGACCTGTATTTGGAAAACTGTAAGACACTGAAGAAAGAGGTTGAAGATACAAATAAATGGAAGTATATACCATGCTCATGGATAGAAAGAGTTAACATCATTAAAATGTCCACATTACCCAAAGTAATCTCTAGATTCAGTGTGATTCCTATCAAAATACTAATGGTGTTTCTCACAGAACCAGAAAGAATAATCCAAAAATTTATATGCAACCACAAAGGACCCTAAATAGCAACCTTGACAAAGAAGAACAAAGATGGAGGAATCATGCTACCTCTTATCAAACTATAGTAAAAGGTGATAATAATCAAAACAGCATGGTGGTAGCATAAAAACAGACTTATAAATCATTGGAACAAAATACAGCATCCAGAAATAAACTCATGCCTATATGGTCAATTAATACATGACAAAGGAGGCAAGAACATACAAGGGGGTAAAGATAGTCTTTTCAATAATTAGTGTTGGGAATATTGGACAGATATGTGCAAAAAAAATGAAGTGACAACCTTCTTACGCCATATATAAGAATAAACTCAAAATGAATTGAAGACTCAAAACCATAGAACTCCTTAAACAGGCATCTCTCTTAGCAATACTTTTTTCTGCTATCTCCTCAGGCAAGAGACAGACATACACAAAAATAAACAAATGGGACTACATCAAACTAAAAGGTTCTTTTGCAGTAAAGGAAACCATCAACAAAATGAAAAGACAAACCACTGAATAGGAGAAGATATTTGTCAATCATACATCTCACAAGGTCCTAATATCCAAAATTTATAAAGAACTCAGGCAACTTAACACCAAATCCCCCTGCCCCAGTAGTCCAATTAAGATATGGGCAGAGGTCCTGAATAGACACTGCTCCAAAGAGGACAGACAGACAGCCAACAGACATATGAAAAGCTGCTCAACATCACGTATCATTACAGAAATGCAAATTAAAATCACAATGAGATATTAATTCACATCTGTCATCAATAAATCATTAAACAAGTGCTGGCAAGGATGTAGAGAAAAAGAAACCCTTGTGCACTGTTGTGGGAATGCAGATTGGTGCAACCACTGTGAAAACATATGGAGGTTCTTCAAAAAATTAAAAATGGATCTACCTTAGATCCATCAATTCCACTTCTGGATATATATCTGAAGAAACACAAGATACTTATTCAAAAGAATATATGCACCCTTATGTTCATTTCAGCATTATTTACAATATCCAAACTATGGAAGCAACCCAAATGCCCACAGATGAGTGGATAAAAAAGTGGTGGTACATATATACAATGGAATATTACACAGCCATAAAAAAGAATAAAATCTTACCATTTGTGATAGTATGGATGGACCTAGAGGGCATTATGCTATGTAAAATAAGCCAGTCAGAGAAAGACAAATGCCAAACGATTTCAGTTATATGTGGAATCTAAGAACAAAATAAATGAACAAACAAAACTGAAACAGATCCATAGATATAGAGAGCAGACTAATGGTTGCCAGAGGGGAGGGAGATTGGGTGAAAAAGATGAAGAGATTAAGAAGTACAAATTTGTAGTTAAAACATAGCTATGGGAATGCAAAGTATAGCACAGGGATTATAGTAAATAATATGTAACAACTATGTATGGTACCAGATGGGTACTAGAAATATCAGGGGGAGTACCGTTAAAAAGTATGTAATTGTCTAACCGCTATGCTATACATCTGAAACTAATACAAGATAATACTGAATGTAAACTACAAAAAAAAATAAAAAACAAAAATAATAAACTCTTGCCATCTGTACTATGGATGAACCCAGAAGGTATTGTGCTGAATGAAATAAATCAGACAGAAAAAGACAAATATCATATGATTTTACTTATATGTGGAATCTAAAAAAACCCAAAATAAACAAATAAGCAGAACAGAAACGGGCTCATATAGATAGAGAGAACATTTTGACAATTTCTATATAGGAAGGGGGGAGGGGTAAAAAAGGAAAAGGGATTTAGAAGTACAAGTTGGTAGTTACAGAGTAGTCATTGGTATGTTAAGGACAGCATAGGGAATAGAGTCAGTAATACTGTAATAACTCTGAGCGGTGTCAGATCAGTAGTAGATTTATGGGGTGGTCCTTTGTAAGTTATACAAATGTCTAATCATGGATGTATACCTGAAACTAATAGAATATTGTATGTCAACTATAACTGCAAAAAAATAAGGAAGTGTTAAAAAACATTAGAAAAATCTAGTGAATGACAGGCAGAAACTTTATGGAAAAACAGCAGAGAGGATGAAATCCTAACCCTTTGTACTACAAGATGAAAAATGTGTCAACCACATGTGAATAGGCACATGCACAGATAAGACTATTGGCTAATGGGGTGTTACCTTGGCAACTGTTTGTTCAGCGATGGTGCTGGGCCTCCGCTGGCGGGCATCGAGCCTCTGCTCCACAGGAAAGCTGCTTCTATGTGATTTCAGGCGCTCCACCAACAAGTAATAAATGGCAGCGAAGTGATTATAGCTCTTGTTCTGCAAAGACTGAAAAGAGAAAACAAGTGCTGTAGGCCAAGAACCTTAAAAACTAATCCAATGATCTATACCTTTCTAAAAAAGATGGAAGAAATCATGTGTTCTTAAAAACAGAGTAACAAAGTGCATCTCAAAACAAAAGCTGTTCCAGAGTTTAGAATGACAGATCACTTCAAGTTTCTAGTATTAATTATATAGAGCGTGATACCTTTAAAAGACTTGACTGGCCCTTTGACATTAACAGGATCCATTTATTTTTCTACATTCAAAGAGAAAATACCATCATTGTCTCATGCAGACATTCCCGAGTGCTGTCATATGGTCCTATCTCATAGCTGCAACTATGGCATAAGGTCAGTTTGCAGCCTGAACCTAGAGGCTCTAATTCCATAGCTTCAACACAAGTCCAAACCACTGCAAACTCTGAAGCAAATGATTAAGGTCTTTGGGGAACTTTCTGATTATTTTGGGCTGGAGAATGACACTTGGATGCTAGATTGAGAGACACTGTGTCTCTGTTCTTAGGTAATTTTTTCCTCTTGTTTTTGCAGTCCTGCCCTCTTGCAACCTTGAAAATAAGGTTGCCTCCCAATTTTTCACATCTCTTGTTGGCCAGATTTCCCAGGGTACTAATGAAACAGAGAAACAACTGCTCCTTTGGTTTCTAATTCCACCTGACATGGGCTGCATGGGCACTGGGCAGTGTACCTTAGAGGAAGAGCACTCTCAGCAAAAATCCTAGGCAAGTGGACCTGTGCTTACAGCTGCCATTCTGTATGAACTTCATAGTCCAGTACAGAAAACTGTCACTGATTGTATCATGAACAAAGTGGAAAGCCAGTCTGGTTTCACTTATGGCTACAAGGAAGGAAAAGGCAGCACTGTTTGGAGCACTTAATATTCCCAAGGGAACATTTAATATTCTTTCTTGTTACGGTTCCTCCTTAAAAGTAGTTTTTTAATTTTTATTTTTTACTGCTGTGGAGGTATTAAAAATATATATATTTTATGAGTATGCTAACTATTAAAGAAAATAAAAGTGATGAGAAATTTCTCAGGTTCAAGACCTTCTCAGTTCTATGGCCCCTAATACTTTCATATCAGTAATCTACCTATTTCTGTCTTCTCAGTTTCTCCAGTTCACAAGCTAAGCCCAACTGGCTTTCCTAAACCCGAGGCCTACCATTCTTGTTTTCTGCTCAGCCCCTTAGCCTTGTTCCATAGCTGCACATTTATGTTCCATATAATCTACTTTATTACCTGTATGAAACTTTATGTTTCATCTAAGGAGAAACTTGCTACTTTGTATTTTCTCAGTCCTATATAAACCCTTCCTCTTGAATTTTTTGGCAGATGGGGCAAAAGCAGAAATTTATACATTGAATACATGCAAAAAAAAAAAAAAAAAAGTCTGATGTACTCTTTAGGGATAACTGAACAGTGTATGTCGAGGTGTTGGGGATGGCCATGCTAAAAGATTAGGATTACAGGTACTATAAGCATGAAATCTCAAGTTACCGAGTCCAATGGAATCCTAAAGTATTTTCATTCAAAGATTTGATCGCTTTACCTCAATGGTTTTCTGTTGATCTATCCCAAGGCTGTGCATCAGTCGCAGAACCTGTTCATTAAACTCCCCAATGGATGGCTCATTTTCTTGCCCTTGTGAATAGAGAACAGGTCTCTGTACAGGAACTTCTATGAGCATCCATTTATGCTCCTTGATTTGAGCTATGGTTAGCCGTTTGGACGGGTCTAAGACCAGCATCCTTCGAATAAGGTGCTCACAATCTAAGGAAAACAATGTTAGAAAAGTCATGTAAATCACCTTGCACTTAAGGGTGTTTGCTTGATTCATGTGACTCTGTACAATGTCATTAATTTTTGTGTCCTCCACAGTGCCCACTGGAAAGGAGAAGGTCAAATGAATAAATGAATACATGAAGATTACTTAATACTTGTCAAGTTCACGTGGTGAATGTTGATACACAAAATTAACCATCACTGTGAATGAATACTTAAAAAAACCCCCAGGAGGCTGTAGGTCTATCCAACCTGTGCTGACTGAACCTTTCTACAGAATTCGTCAACTGAAAATATCTAGACAGACTTAGATTTCCAGTAAAGAAAAATAAGATGCCTTCTTCCTAGAATAAGCAAATGATAAATGCATCCTCAGTCATGTCTATGGTTGATATACTAACGCTATGTAAGTGAGACAAGAGCTCTCCAGTGGACTGCTGCTTTCTCCTTATCAGTGCAGCTGAGAAAAATGTATGTGAAATTATTTACTTCTGATTACACTAAGAACACTGCCCTGCTGCAACTTTGGGCATTAGCTTATCCTTTGAGCTGGTATCATGCTCTTTACCACTCCATATAAGCTAACCTTAGGTCACTTGCTATGTGCCAGGCACCATGTTAAGTGCTTTTATAAAGACTGATTTAATTAATCCTCACAACACCCCTATTAGGAAGTACGGTTATTTCTACTTTATAGATTGAGGAAATTGAAACAGAGAGAGGAGATATAACTTGCCAAGGTCAGATCACCAGGTAAGTGGTGAACTCAGGACTGAAACCTGGCAGTCTGGCTCCAAAGTCTACACTCTTAACTTCATAAACAAGTGCATGAAGTATTATTTCTACTGTTAGGAGGACAAAAGAGTTAAGAATGATAATTGAAAACTAATCGAAGGAGAAAACTTAACTGCTGCCCCTGTTACAACTCAATATAAGACCGGTGGGGATTATGGCAGTTCCCCTGAATTCAATAGTTTTGCTAGTTGGTTTTTAGATTTAATAAAAAAAATTTAATTTTGCAACTTCTTGCCAAAAAATATGAGAAAATCCATTTCAAACTTAGAGCAAAATGGTTGTGAATCTGTAGCCACAAAGAGCTCCTCTAAGTCTAAAATAAACCTGGGACATTTATAGACTGAGAGTAAATGGAAGACTTGCTGTTCTTAATCTGGGGAACTTCCTGTTTTCAATTAGGAGGGATGGAGGGGGCTGCTGATTTCTATGGCTTTTAAAGTAACTCAGTCACTTTATTAAGCACCCAAACTCTTAGAAACAGGGAAGCTTTGCCTAGGCATTTCTTTTGGAGCACAAACTCTGTATAGCACAATTAGTAAGATGAACAGGTTGTTACCTTCTGACATGAAATATGGAATCCGGAATCTTCCTTCCAAAACCCTTTGCCTCAAAATAGGAAGAGTTGGTCCATCAAAGGGCAGAGCTCCACAAACAAGGACATAAAGAACAACTCCCATGCTCTAGGGGAAGAAAACAACGGGGTCATGTTTCTACCAAGAACTTCAAACACTCTTCGTTTTCTTAGACATTCCTGGGGATATCCCCAGGGCTCTTAAAATCCTACAGATTGAAAAATTCCTGTTTGAATTTACTATTTTCTTGAATTTGGGAAAAAAAAAAAATGAAACCCTGATTACTACAAAAGAGTATCCTATAATAAACATTGAAATATCTGAATGTAATTATAGTCCAGTGGACAGGAAAAGTGTGAACTACTGCCTTTGTGTTAGATCCCAAGAGCTTCAAAGATGAGCCGGAGCACCAAGTATTATCATTATAGATGCATTTAACATAGCAAAGCAAAGAAATACCCAAATATCCAGCTGCGGTCCTTCGTACTGCTGCCCTTCAAAGACTTCTGGGGCTGCGTAAGGGGGGCTGCCGCACCATGTTGCCAGCAGTTCACCGCTCTTAAAGAAATTTCCAAAACCGAAGTCTATTGGGATGGAAATAAACGTTACTTTCATCTATGGTCTCAAACTGTACTGAATTTCTTTGTGATAAATTTTATAATATGCTAGGTTAATAATATTACTACGATTTATTTTGTGAGGAAGGGGATGGCCCTATGTTGTAATGTTTCTCTAGCACTTAGCATAACGACTAGCAAATATTAACATAAGCATTGAAAACTACTTCTTGAATGAATGTATAAATGAATCAAGTTTTCTTCTCATAGAGAATGAGTAAGAAATTAAGAAAAGACTTCAAATAATGTATTTTTAAGGCTAAAAGAAAACCCATTGATGTGGACAACCAACTTGTACTTGATAATCTTAGAATTTTAATTATTCCATGACTAAGAGTTATTCATCTTATATCGTCTATAAGAAAAGAACCAAATGAGTAAAACTCTAAGATATTTACCTTAACACAACCAAGTGACTGGCTGCCCTTACAGCCATTATCCCAGGGTACCAAAATAGATAACCTTTTAAGGGAACTGAGTACAGGGTTTCCTAAATAACAGCTCTTTAGGTGTTGGCCCACACAGCCTGATTTAGGCAGATATCTATCTAAAAAGCTCATTAACATGTGGTGGCTATATGGCCCAGTCACAGGCCACCTATCACCAGTATTTACTCACTTATGGAATGCAGTGGCATTATATTTCAAAACAGCTAATGGCCTCCTCCTATTAGTCACACTGAATCTACAGCTTTGGTATACAGCATGCACTCTGGAAATACTGTACTCAGATGCCTTCAATATGCATTAAAATTACAGCAGAATTCAGTGACCTTTTGGTATAAATGCTAAGCCTTCACGCTGTCTCATGTCCTTACCGAAGAAACAAATTCCTATTATCTGTTACAGTCACACTGCTTCCAGTTATAGCACACTCTTCACTGAAGAACACTACCTTAGTGACAAGAACTGGCTTTGTACCCAGCTAGTACACAGCACTGATTGGACAGTGAGCTTTTAAGAGGTGCCCCCGGGGGACCGGATCAAGTCTCCAGTGCCAGATTGACTAACTTGTGTGACTTTGAATCAGTCTTTGTGAGCCTAAGTTTCCCCATCTGTAAAGCTGATATAATAAATGTATGCAGTTGGCAGGTTGTTGTGGGGATCCAAAGAGTTAACATAAACTCACACTCTATTCACACCTTGAGACTTCGGATAGCCCAGTCTGTATCTTAAGCTGAAGCATTCTCTTAGCTAGCTGATGTAAGAGCTGGTGGCAAGCAGTAGTAACAGTGACAACAGTCACAATCCCTAACACTACAGCTTCAGGGCAGAGTACAAACTAGGAAGTCAGGGAGAAGGAGAGCTGATCTCCCATTTTGCCACTTCCTAGCTTTAAGTCCTCTAGGTAATCTATTTAACTTCAAGGGGTTTAACTGCTGCCCCTGTTACAGGGGTTTCTGTATCTATAAATGTGGGGATAATCCACCTACCCAGTTAGGATGCTGTGAGGATGAAATGAGACTTAGGATACAAAATGCCTGGAACATATGTAAAATGTCAGTTCCCTTCTCCTTCTGTGAAGCATCATTACCAACTATTGCCTTTCAAAGAGAAAGTTCCTGAGAAAATATACAAGAGGGGTAAGGAAAAGTATATATAGGAGTATATATAGGAGAGCTTAAGGGTTCCAAAGAGAAAAGAGGGTACACATGGGGAAAGAGTGTCAGGCACAGTCTAAACCTCGTGGAACACCACTTTGGTCTGTCCTTGGCCTCCAGTATTATGAGGCAACAAGAGCTTCTCTTATCAATTCCACCTTTATGACTAATCACTCATAATACATCATATGTACATATTGATACATTTCTAATTTTCTAGAAAAACTATATTCTCAAATGAGTCAAGAACTAGATGTTCAAGTAACATTTACAGAGGAAAATGTTAATTTCACTCACACGGAAAAGCACAAGAAGCTCTGGATGTGTTTGGAGATCCTGAAATAGGTCCAGTACTTGCTGTACTTTAAACCATAATCCCAGGATGAGTTTTGGCACACGTAAGTAAGTTGAGGATATGCTCCAAATAGCACTGTAGAGATTCAACGTCTCTAAAAGCCATTATGGAACTCCTTCATCCTGAACGTCCCTGGGCTCTGGTGGAATGAACCAAAAGGAATGACCGGGACAGGCCTGTCAGGAAGGCAGCCTGGCCTCTTCACTGCCCGAGCTCACTCACTGGTGCATTGCACAGGCACAAAGGGAACAAGAGTAAGGAAAGCATCACATGCCTGTGGCATCCCAGTCTCAACCTTGGCTTTACATGCCTAGGGCAAAGAAAGTGTCCTGTTAACTTACAAGAAGTGATACTAAGCAGAGTTTTACTTCTATTTCCTGTAAATAACTAAAGAAAATAGGAACTTGAGCCTGTAGAAACGATAAAACACCAAAAGATAATTAGGTTTATGAAGGCTATTATTAAAAGCATCTATGCAAGTATCTTCTATAACCTTGCCAGAGCACTTAACATTGTAATCAACCATCTGATAACAGCTAATGGAGTCAGGAAGATTTAGAATAAAATCCTGGGTTTTCCACTTAGCTGTGTGATCTTGGGTAAATTACTTAGCTTCTTGAAGCCTTGGTTTCCTCATTTGCAAAATGGCGATAATACCCATGCTTCATAAAGTCACTATAACTTACTGTATATTATGCCACTTCTTATAAGTAGATAATATAGAATGCTTGAGCTACTCAATAGAATAAAAGAATAATAATTCCTCTTCTTATTGTTTTACTTTTCTGCCTCCTCCATCAGGCTAAACTCCTTGAAAGCAGAGAGGGGGACATGACATATGTCTGAACTCCAAGCATTTAGCCCATTCTCTGTGGACAGCAGCTGCTCATTAAAGGTTTGCTGAATGAATATGTTGCCATCATCTCTTTTAGAGGTGCTTACTATGTGTCAGAAACTTTTCTAAGTTCTCTGAAGATGATTTCTTCTTAAGAATCCTATTTGGTATCCTTATTTTAGGAGAAAGTAAGAGTAGAAAGTTAAGGACCTTGTCAGAGGTTATGCTAAGCTGTAGAACTGGAATAGAAACCAAGCACTGCCTGTCACCCATCACCTTTATGTCCTCTGGCACAGTGATATGCAGGATGCTTTTGAGCAAGTTAATAATGGTCAGGTTAAGAAGTGGCAATGGAAAAGCGCTTAAAAATAAAAGCCTTCTTATTTCTTCACAGAGGCAAATCTGGATGATTTGCTTCATTCAGTCTGCAGCTTTCTGCCGAAAAGCACACAGTAAAAACAAGGAGAGCAGGAGGGATGAAATACGAAAATGGCATAGCTAGGCGGATTTGTTTCTTATCACCATTTATTCAAATAGAATCCATTAATGTCTCATCCTACCAACCAAATTCACTGCATTCTTTCATTGAATATTTGAGTGCAAGCATGTATCAACCACTGTGCAAACACAGAAGAGAGCCTAACCACAACTGAGGGTGTTAAAAGACACTACATTTTCATCTGACTTTTGGAAGGCATTATGAGAAAAATCACTTGGGCATTCATTCTTCTTTATGCTAGACCCAAACTCAGCTCAGCTTTGCAGGGAAGGAAACATCCTTGTAGTTTCTTTTGTAGTGCTCTGACCTGTAAGTTAATACCTAAAATGATGGCAGGTATGTCCTTCAGGCATTTTGTTTTCCTGTTTTTCTGTCATAAAATTTATGTCATGTAATGTTGAATTCACTTTGCTATTACTTAACTTTTAATTTAGAAATAATTTTAGATTTACAGAATAGCTGCAACAATAAAGGAGGACTCCGTATGCCCTTTGCCCAGCTTCTCTTGATGCTAACATTTTATATAACTATAGTAGTACCATTATCAAAACTAAGAAAGTAGTATCGATTCAATACTATTATCAAAACCATGGATTTCACCAATTTCTCTTACTAGTGTCCCTTTTCAGTTCAGGATTTCACAATGCATTTAGTTTTCATGTGTTCTCCAATTTCTAACAGTTCCTCAGTCTTTCCTTCTATTTCATGATAACGAATAGTATAGTTTAAGTATATTGTAGATTGTCCCTCAGTTTGGGTTTGGCTGACATTTTCTTATGATTAGACTGAGACTGTGAATTTTTGGAAGAACATCACAGAGGTGAAGTGCTCTTCTCTGTGCATGAACATTAGGGGGTGCATGGGATTATGCCTAATTACTGATGGCGTTAATAACCTTGATCTCCTAATTAAGATGATGTCTGTTGGGTTACCCCAGTGTAAAGTTACTATTTTTCTCTCTGTAATCAATATTGTAGAAAAATACATTGAGACTACACATATTCTGTTATTCCTAAAATTTTCACCTACTAATTTAAATTGTATTCATTAGATCTTGATTGCTGTAGTGATACTTCAGTGCCCTAATGGTGAGTTCATTTCACTAATTCCTTCTATGCTTATTAATTATAATTCTTTAAGAAAGAGCTGTCCCTTCTTCCCCTTTTATTTATTAAATAATTTATTTATTATTTATAACATTGTCATATTAATATGTGCTATGAATATTTATTTTATTGCTTGGGTTATAATGCCATACTACTGTTGTATTGTTATTTATTTTGATGCTCAAATAGTTCCAGTTTTGGCAGTTAGGAGCTTATTTAGGCTGGCTCCTGTATCCTTTCAACATACCCCATCTTTTTAAAAATTTCATTTTAAGTGTTTCCTTATTTTTTGATACCACATGATGTTCCAGGTTCATTTTATATTTCCCCTGCCCCATTCCTGAAATCAACTGCTTTTCCAAAGGGGCCCTGGTTCCTTTTATGGAGGAATTGTATTTAGAAACCAAGATTAGGACCTGGATGTGCTCATTACAACTGGAATGTCATTGCTTCTAAACTCTGTCAGCACACAGTTAGGAAACACAGGTATGAATGCTAATTCATGTGTACATACATACTTTTTGTACCTACTTATATGTATATGTATTTTTAAAAATCCTTCGGTTCATACT